AGTTTTTCCCTCATTCCTAGACAGGCGTGGGGGCAGAATCCTGTACACCCCCCCACCTGGTCTCTGCCTGGAGTGGAGGAAACTGTTAAAATGCAAAGTGGAGGTCTGACACCTTTCAAACCCCCCAGGACAAAATGCATTTCTTCAGAGACCTCCACAACACAACACCCCGGTTTCAGCGAGAAGGCAGTGATACAGTGTTTGCAAGACAGCAGTGCTCTTCACAGATTAAAAGGCTCTTTGGATGAGGGAGTCTGGTTTGGAGAGGACTACATCCTGTGGCCCTGTGTCCTTTGAACTCAATTTCTCTCTCCCCTGCATTTAGGTCCCCTGATGAAGAGAAGCTCACATGATCTCCACAGACTGCTCAGGGCGATTACTGTTGCCTTTGGCTACCACTATTGTTTTATGAGAGAGAACACATGAAGCTCAGACACTTGGTCCATCGAAGTCAGTATTGTCTACTCAGACTGGCAGCGGTTCTCCAGGTCTCAGGCTGAGGTCTTTCACGTCACCTCCTACCTGATCCTTTCAACAGGAGATGTCAGGGATTGAACTTGGGATCTTCTGCATGCCAAGCAGATGCTCTGCCACTGAGCCACAGCCTCTCCCCTCACCTATATTTTTCTTCAAAGGAATGGTCGTCTCCTCCCCAGCCCATCTGCATCTGGGTGAACCACAAAATTATAAACGGGAAGTTTGATCTTGATCCAGGTAATATTAGTCTAAATCAAAGAAACGGAATGACTTAATTCCAAGTTATTCCACTAAATCCTGCTGCTTTAACTACTGTGACTAAGCTGCATTGATGCCATCCTCTTTTTTTAAAATGCACAACTGTGAATAATTTTTCTGATTGATACATTATTGCTGAATGTGTTTGGAAACTGTCCTGAGCCATTCTGGAATGAATGTCATTACAAAAATCTAAAATATATTAAAAAAAACAACTAATCACTTTAGGGCTTCTTCCCAGTTAAACTAAGTGGCATAACTGAGGAACCTGGGAAATGATTGGTTTAGGCTTGGATGAGGAAATAAATTATGGCTGCGGTCACACGGAACATTAGCAACACAAGAGAGACGGAAGACAGACAGATTTTCCGGGCGCGATCTCACCGGCACATCTGGGAAGCGTAGCGCTTCTGTGGCACAACCGAGGCTTCCCGGCGAAAACGCGCTGCAAAACTTCGGAGGTACTAGTTTCCGGAAACTGTGGGGCAAGGGCGGGCGTCTGATTGCATTTCCGGTGGCATCCGGCGCCCGCCCATGTCCCCTTGCGAAAAAGGTTCCCCCCCCAAGTCTCCGTGGATGCACACACGCAACCAACGGAGCATGTGCATTCGTCGGAGCATGTGCATACACAAAAAAGAAAACCAGTTTGCTGCACCGCGCACTTCTTTGTTACGCGCAGGCTAGTCCTGTGATCGGCACCTCTCCCTACCCACGGAACCTCCACGGAACCTCCACAGGACCTCCACGGGAGGTCTGATCGCTTAACCATGCGTTAGTTTGCCCCGGGGCAAACAGTCACGCTCCCCCCCCCCGCATTTTTCTGCCGTGTGACCGGAGCCTATGGATACCAAAATGAGGCTGTGACTTAATTATTTTATATTCTCTAATTTGTCTTTACAATCACTGCAAATGGCCACTTCTGATAATCTATGTAGCTTCTCTTGGCCATTCCCTCTGCAACCTTTTCTTGGGCTTTTTTTGGTCAGCATTACCAGTATTTATAGAACCAGCATGGTGTAGTGTTTAAGAGCAGTGGACTCTAATCTGGAGAACAAGTTTCAATTCTGTACTCTTCCATATGAAACCAGCTGGGTGACCTTGGGTCAGTCACAGCTCTCAGAGCTCTCCAGCCCAAAAAAATAAGTCTAGCTCGCTAAAAGAACTTAAAGCTGCCAGACACTCTTTGGATTTCCAAGCTATACCACACACAATATCATATGATGATAATAATAATAACAATAGCTATTATTTACTTATTTATTTAATTTATACCCCACCTTTCTCTCCACTGGGAACCCAAAGTTACATCATTTGCCTTGCCTCCTTACAACAGCCCTGTGAGGCAGGTTAGGTTGACAGTATGTGACTGGCCCAAGGTGACCCAGCAAGTTTCCATAGCAGAGTGGGGATTCAGGTCCTAGTCTAACACTCTAACCACTATATTACTCAGAAGGTAATGGCTCAGATAATCAGCATGGCTATGAAATGGTCAGCACAGCAGTGGAGTTCATTCTCTTGGCAATTATTGGTCAAAGCCCTAGAGAGAAGGCCCCTCTCTTGTTCAGTGCTTAGTAATTACAGGTGTTTCACGTATGACAAACTGTGGTCCTGTGTTTGTGTGGTATAAACATGGGGGGGGGATTCTTCTGCCTCTGTAATGCCACAATGTAAGATTGTGGGGCAGATGCTTCCCACTTACCTAGCTCTGAATTGCAGCAGTCTAGCACTGTAGAGTTAATTATTGAACTCTGGAGCTGGGTGATGAGGACATTGATATTCTGAACTCAAACCTCACAATATAGAGTAGAGAGGAAGGTGTTTAATCTACCCTACCTGTGCTGCATGTGAGAGTTTTGTGTGTATGTGAAAACTGGCAATGAATATATGACACTCTCCAGATTAAACATTTACGAACTTGAGCAGGCCAGTGCTCCCCCGCCCGTTTTCACTGGCTTTTTGTACACCCTGTACACCAAAGTGTCTTCAGCATTTCATGACTCCTGGAGGGCAATGAGCATTCTCAATTTTACTGGGCCATTGGGGTGGGGAGTGGAAGTGTTACTTCTTCTGTGTACATGAAATAAAATTAATATTTGTTCTGCATATCTGGGAACTCTTCTGAGTACGCAGCAACCTCTTTGTATGTGGGCGGTCATAGTACGGGGTCCTACTGATAGGCACAGACCATCATGCTACAGTGATGGTGCTAAAAATAACAATACTCACAATAAGTAACAAAAATTAGAAATGTCTAGAAGAATTCTGGACAGAAAGAATCTCACAAACAGAACCATAGCTAGTTTCCCCATGAGAATTAATCATCTGGTGCTGTGTGTATTACCTTGGTTACTGGCCATTTTCCTAGGGTTTGGGGAGCTGCTAGGGGGCGTTGCACCAGTTTGGAGAGGATTTTTCTGATTCCAGGAGTCTAAAATGGGCAATAGAAGAACATCAGTCCCCAAACTGGGAGGACTGCAATCCAGTTGATAGAACAAAGTTTGAGTCCAGTGGCACCTTTGAGACCAACAAAGTTTAATTCAAGGTATAAGCTTTCATGTGTACGCACACTTCTTCAGATACATTGAAATGGAAGTTACCAGACCACACATATAATTAGAAGGTGAGCAGCAAATTAGCATACAGCATAAAAAAGGTGTTTAACAGATGCAAGGACCAAACTGGAATAACAAGCCTAGTTTATATGGTCACCGTTTGTTTGGGTTTAATTCTGGGGGAAAACATTGTGGAATTTCACTTTACCCTTTCTAAACCGTTATTGTACCGTCATGGAATAAACCGGTACAGGGACAGCCGTTTCACACAGCCTTTCCCTTCCGGTAAGGAGCCATCTCTGAAGCGGTGTGTCATTTCAAACTGCACCGCTTTCTTTTCCCGCCATTTCCCTCCCATGTGCAGGATCTCCCTGACAGATTTTTTTTTAAACATTCTATTGGGAGTGCTCTGGCGCTGAAGCAGGACTACAAATCAGTGCCATAGCAACCCCATTGAGATTCCTAGACTCCATTTAGATACACTGACATTAGCTACTGCTGTCACCTGGAAACCAGGAGCTCATTAGATACAGAGTTCAAACGTGGGGGGGGGGAAGAACCGGACAGTTTTGAAACCCAGGAAGCTTTCCTTCCTCCCTTAAATCCCACAAACCATGGAGTATGTGTGCCTGAGTCTACACTTCCTCTAAAGCAAACTTTTTAAAAATCGACCATTCACTTATGCTCCTGATCTCCCACTTGAACACGCTGTCCAATCAGGTACTTGTTCCAAGTGACAGCAGTAGCAAATGTCAGTTTATCTAAATGGAGTCCAGGAATCTCAATGGGGTCGCTATAGCGCTGATTTGTAGTTCTGCTTTAGCGCTATAGCGCTCCCAATAGAATGTTAAAAAAGAGAGGACGATCATGCGTGAGGAGAAAAAGGGCACAAAAAGAACTGTCATCGCAGGAAGCGCTATGGGGCGTTTTATACAGCACCCCATAAGGCTTCAGAAGCAGTAGGAAGGACTGAAGACTGGAGGAAAGCAGTATGAGTCAGGAAGGACTGAAGACTGGAGGAAAGCAGTTCAGGCATGCTTCCCAAATGGAACAGAAGCGTGTTTGTCTGAACAGGTAAATATATTCCGTCAGGGACCAGTTACTAAAATGGGTCTGTCTGACATGACAGAAAAAATCTGTTAGTGACCAGTTCCTGAAACGGAATACATAGGCTGTCTGAAAAGGGCCATAGTGAAGGAAATAAGTATATCAAAATCCGAGACTGATGGGCATATGTACCCTTCTTAACTGTGGGATGCTGAGAGTAATTAACTGAGACCCTCTTATTATTTTCCATCTGTTTCCTCTCAAATGTGGAGGCAAGAGTTACAGCGTCCTCTTCTTTGTGGTGGTGCAACTGGCTGTGCAGTGTGTGTCTCCCCCATCCCTGGACCAAAGAAATACATTCCAGTCTACCATTCCAAATTACATTACATTCTACTATTCATTACATTACAATATACTTGCATTACATCCTCTTTATTGTACTTTATTTCTTACTTGGAATAGTAGATTGTATGGACTGGTAACTTCCATCTCAATGTATCTGAAGAAGTGTGCGTGCACACGAAACCTCATACCTTGAATAAAACTGTTGGTCTTAAAGGTGCCACTGGACTCAGACTTTGTTCAGTTCCTTTAAATGTTAGCTTTTATGCATTATTTGTCTTGGCAGAGTATTGTAAACAATATTTGGTTTCTTAAATTACATACCTGTGGGTAGCACCTTTCTTCTCACAGTTAGATTCACTTGCCCATTTCGAGCTGCATTATGCATGAGATCAATCACATATCGGTGAGTTTTGCCAGCCACTGGAATTCCATCAACATAGACCAACTCATCACCAGGATGTAGACGGCCATCTCTGTCTGCTGAGCCCATAGCAATCACTGCTCCAATTAGAATCTGAGTAATAACATGAAAGGAGAGTTACAAACACATATCCATGAAAGAAATACCAACATACTTTTTCAGATGAGTAGGCAGAGCTTTCTGTACTCCAGAGTAATGTTTCAGTCCCTGCTACAATGCCAACCTTCAGATAAGACAAATAGAAAATTCCATAATCATTTCAGTAATCGTAGCAATTTGTAATCAGTAAAGTTATAACTTGTTCCTCAAGAGTAATGAGATTAATAATCCAAACAGCAATGGGAAAAAAATTACATTGCTGGTTACATTCTTCTTGGAGGAAACATTTCTAACATTGAAAAATATGAATGATCATGAAATGAAGAAATCTGGAATTGAGTGTTTTTAAAGGGGATCTATACAGATGTCAGCTATGCTGCCATATAGTTTATGGGCCCGGTTTCGCTTTCATGACCCATGTGCCAGTTGCTGCCACATTCCTTTCTCTTCGCTTCTCCCCCTCGTTATCACTGACCTTGTAGCCAGCCTGTGTAGTGTCTTCCCATCAATTACCCGTGAGATTGGTTTCGTTTCCCAGCCTCGGCTCTAACTGCCTTGGTTCTCTTTCCCGCCTGTAGGAGTCAGGCTGATTGGCCCATAGGTGGAGAGGGGGTGCTTTGGAATGCGGCAGCAACTGGCACACAGGTCATAAAAGAGAACACGGGCCCATAAACTATATGGCAGCATAGCTGACGTTAGATGACACCATGTTTCTCCCACACTGAAACAACAGCATTAATGATCACTATAGGAGTTGCGGCATCAATGTAGAAACTATCGAGTGGAGTTTTACAGTCTGTGAGAACACACTTAACAATGGCCCGATGCTGTCCACTTTACACATCCCTTGCAATTTTACTGAAATCATAGATTTCTTGTTGTACAATGCTGATTAGAGATATGTGCTACTAAAGAAGCAGCCGGCTCCTGTAAGTAGACATTGCTAATTTGAAAATTGCGTCAGAGTCCTTTTGGCATTGTATTTAATTTTTGAAGCCATTTGGAAAAATACCCCCTCCCTCTTGCTTCTTTTCATTTCCACTCAGACAAGAGGCTTATTACTGAGTGATCATTATCATGTACAAGTCAGGAATTCAAAGGTGCTCAGAAGCAGCACCCTCTGTGGTTGACTGCATTTACGAAATATATGAGCAGCATGGAAGTTGATGCAATTTCTGGTTCCCACGTTGTTCTTCCCCTCCCCCTCACACAATGAGTCTACTCACATGAACAGTACAAACGGCAGCATTTAATGTATAAATCACCCCCTAGTGCTGATAATCACCATGCACTGTCAAGTCAACAAAGAACCCTGTGGCACCTTGAAGACCAATAAATTTACCTCTGTGGCATTGGCTGTTGTTTTGACTCAAATGGCTGCCCTTTGGCAATTTGTCACTATTACCTGCATGAGCAGTTACTAGATGAAAGTCACAGCTGGATGTGTCAACTGTCTCCACTGAAAAGCATAATCTTTGTGGTGATGTGAGCGGAATTACATATGGTGTTTATTCTCCAACAGCTCATGGAAGGAACATCAACAATGGCTGTAAAATACTGCCAAAGGGGAGGGAGATCCAGCATCCTCCCCAAAGGTGGTCATGAGGATATAGTAGTGGAATTTGGCTTGATGTTGCAGAACTGTGTAAATGCACAACTACTGAATGGGTAGCAACTTCCAGAGCAAGCTTAGGCAATTATGACAGCCCCGTGCACTTCCCTCCTTCAGAGGTAAGACTTTTCCTCCATTTTTCTTTCCCTGTCTGACTGAGCAGCCCTAGAGGTCTGTTTTCTTCTTTCCTGAAGAACTCTGGCTTTCTCACTCTGTCTCAGTATGATATTTTACTGTTGGCTCAGCCCAGGAACTGGAGGGAACAATTGGGATCACCCTTTAACTTAAACTACTTAAATGGCACTTGAGTTTTGAAATTCAAAAATAACAAAATATTTTATTTAACATAGAGAGGAAAGGTCAGGTGAAATAAAGGGCTGAAATTTCTGAGGTAAAACCAGTACATGCATGGACTTTAGTTCTTATATTTCAGGCTAATGAGAGTTTCTTAAGATGACTTAAATCTTTAAGCGGAGAGGCTTTCATTCCAGTTTTCCCTCCCAATTACTCCAGTACACTTTCTTTGAGTATTCTCAGAAGGCTGGTACACTCTTTCTAGTACCCAAACCCCTTCTCTTGAAACACCAGTACTCATCTTGAGTTTTTAACTGACTTTTAAGGTCTCTAAAGGCAGTTTCTAATCACCCCAGAGCAGGGATCTCTGCACTCTTCAGAGCTATCTCCCTGTTCGACTGGGTAGGGAATTTTCTTCTCTTTTAGAAGGTTTATCCCCTTTCCTTGGACTGAATGGGAGTCTTCTCCTACTTCCCAAACTTCCTTGCCAACTTTCCTCCAGTTCTCCTGTCTGTGTTAAAGTGCTCTCAGCTAAGGCTGAATTCCGAAACTGTCAGTATTTGACTCTTCTCTGCTAGGGATACTAACCAATCAGATTGCTTGGAGCAGCATGTCACTTAAGGCCCTCTGTTTCTGTGAAGAATTAACCCTTCACAGTTCTTTGGCTGTTTGTACAGCACTTTTAAGCCTTTAAAAAGTGCAGTCCATCATAGCAATGTTATCATCACTGGTCCCAGCTGGACACCAGGATTGCAGAGCGGTGACTTGAAGCTCAGGGCACCTGCAGTCTTAAGGCTTTCCTCATGAAACCCACTGCATACTGCCAGCAGGTAGAACACAGGGTATTCAAGTACACAGAGTACCAACAAGTCTATAAGTTAATGTGCTGCCATTTAGGTTCAAAAAGCCAGTCTGAACTGATTGAATTCTTGCCCTGAAAAATATGTACATTTTCCTGCATTTCTTAGTTGAATTCAACTGTATTTCCTGAGGCAATCTCTGCTGTGGTCCTATGTAAAGTATTGCCTTCATTTAAAAGATTGTGTGTGAAATGAGTGCAATTGTGTGATAGCTTAAACATTCCTTGGCATTGCCCTTCTTTGGGACTGGAATGTAAACTGACCTTTTCCAATCCTGTGGCCACTGTTTTCCAAATTTGCTGGCATACTGAGTGCAGCACTTTAACAGCATCATCTTTTATGACTCTGAATGGCTCAGTTGGGATACCAGCTTTCTAAGTCCCATTTGACTTCGCACTCCAGGATGTGTGGGTCAAGGTCAGTGATCACACCATCATGGTTGTCAAGGACATTTAGATGCTTCTTGTATAGTTCTTCTTTGTATTCTTGCCACCTCTTCCTCTGCTTCTGTTAGGTCCCTACCATTTTTGTCCTTTATCATGGCCAGTTTTGCACGGAACGTTCCCTTGATTTCTCCAATTTTCCTGAAGAGATCTCTAGTCCTTCCCATTCTACTGTTTTCCTCTATTACTTTGCATTGTTCATTCAGGAAGGCCTCCTTATCTCTCCCTGCTGTTCTCTGGAAATCTCCATTCAGTTGAGTAAATCTTTCCTTTTCACCTCTGCCTTTCACTTTTCTTCTTTTCTCTGCTATTTGTAAAGCCTTATCAGACAGCCACTTTGCTTTCTTGCATTTCTTTTTTCTTTGGGATGGTGGTAATTGCTGCCTCCTGTACAATGTCATGAACCTCTGTCCATAGTTCTTCAGGCACTCTGTCTATCAAATCTAGTCCCTTAAATCTATTCTTCACCTCCACTGTATATTCATAAGGGTAAGGGATGTGATCTAGATCAAACCTGAATGGCCTAGTGGTTTCCCCAACTTTCTTCAGTTTAAGTCTGAATTTTGCAATGAGTAGCTCATGATCTGAGCCACAGTCAGCTCCAGGTCTTGTTTTTACTGACTGGATAGAGCTTCTCTATCTTTGACTGCAAATGATTTAATCAATTTGATTTTGGTGTTGCCCATCTGGTGATGTCCATGTGTAGAGTCGCCTCTTAGGTTGTTGGAAAAGGGTGTTCGCTATGACCAGTGTGTTCTCTTGACAAAACTCTGTTAACCTTTGCCCTGCTTCATTTTGCTTTCCAAGGCCAAACTTGTCTGTTATTCCAGTTACCTTTTCACTTCCTACTTTAGCATTCCAGTCCCCTATGATGATGAGGACATCATTTTTTGGTGTTAGTCCTAGGAGGTGTTGTAGGTCTTCATAGAACCGGTCCACTTCAGCCTCTTCTGCATCAGTGGTTGGGGCATAGACTTGGATTACTGTGATGTTAAATGGTTTGCCTTGTATATGGACTGAGATCATTCTGTCATTTTTGAGATTGTATTCCATTACTGCTTTTTTCACTCTCTTGTTGACTATAAAGGCCACACAATTTTCCCTTCAGGATTCCTGGCCACAGTAGTAGATATAATGGTCTTCTGAGTAAAATTTGCCCATTCCCGTCCACTTTAGTTCATTGATTCCCAAGATGCTGATGTTCAGTCTTGCAATCTCATTTTTGACCACGTCAAGCTTACCTTGATTCATAGATCTTACATTCCAAATTCCAATGCAGTATTGTTCTTTGCAGCATCAGACTTTCCTTTCACCATCAGACACATCCACAGCTGAGCATCCTTTCGGGTTTGGCCCAGCTGCTTCACTCTTTCTGGGGTAACTTGAACTTGCTCTCTGCTCTTTCCTAGTGGCATATTGGACACCTTCTGACCTGAGGGGCTCATCTTCCGGTGTCATATTTTTTCGCCTTTTGTTACTGTCCATGGGGTTTTCTTGGCAAAGATACTGGAGTGGGTTGCCATTTCCTTCTCCAGTGGATCACGTTTTGTCTGAGTTATCCACTGTGGCCTGTCCATCCTGGGCGGCCCTCCATGGCATAGCCCGCAGCCTCATCGAACCACGCAAACCCCCTCAACATATCAAGGCAGCAGTTCATGAGAGAGGACATATGGTTACAGCATAATAAAATCTCAAGTCTATGTGACCCTCCAGAAACAAGTTCAAAAGAATGTATAAGGGACTCTAGTAAACTCTGTATCACAGTAGAAGCAGTGAAACATCTCTAACAGCATCAAGCCAAAATAAACTAGGGAAAATAACTCACAAAACATCTCTAATGTTGTATAAAAGCAGTTTTGGATATATATTTGAACCTCTCCTTACCAAACCTACCCAAAGTTCACTTGTAAATAGAATTTTCCAACCCCTGCCTGTTTATTCCAATAAATTTATTTCAACTTTCAGTGTACCTAGGTGCCTATTTATGAGGGAGAATGTATAGAGGTGCAGACCCTCCTCAATCACAGTTCATTATTTGTGGGTAAGCCAACAAAGTATCAAACAGTAATAAAATGGGACAATAGCATTATAATAAAAGTTTATTTACTACATAAGAAGAGTGACATGCTACTCAGTTATCAGATGGGGAACTGGAATTGCAGTGATGTCATCGGTGATGTCATTGCATTGCCAGAGATGCTTTAGCATTTGGCTGAAATTCTATGGCACTTTCACCACACAGTTCCCCCCCAAATACCAGAGTATCCTCCACAGTGCTGCTGATGTGATGATGTCACTTCCAGTATGCACCAGAAGTGATGTTGGCATGTTGCTGGTGACATTGTTGTGATCAGAGGTCATTTCGGGGGAGAACGCGGGGGATCGCAGTTCCCCCAGGTGAGGTGCAGGGGGCGGGGCACATGACAAAGCCCCGCCCCCTGCTTCCGGCCGCCCCGCTTCCAGCCCTCATTCAGCCAGGAGGAGGCAGGAGAAGAGGGAGGATAAGTTGCTTCCTCCCTGCCTCTCCCCACCCCTGCCTGCCTGGGGCCAGGGAGGGCCTTGGCAGGGCTTCCTCGCACTCCTGCTGGCCTTGCAGGTCCACCGCCGGGCCCCTGATGTCAGGGGGTGTGGCATATGCTAATGAGTTATGCTAATGAGTTCCCCTAGCTCTTTTTCTACGAAATGACCCCTGGTTGTGATGCCAGACTAGGCCTCCCCTCGCTGCTAGCAAGTCCCCACACCAGCCAGCTGATTGGTGGCAGGGGTGGGGCCCAGGTCAAGGGATACTCCACCCCCATCTGGGGCCCAGCTATCCTGCGAACAGATTCCAGAAATGAGGAACGGCCCAGTTAAAGATGTACTCATAAATGCAAGTCTTTAGAGTGTGGACTCCTGTTGGTCTCTAAAGTGTTAACTGAACTCAAATTTAACTGTTCTACTAACATTAATGATACAAATCAATAACTGCTAAGCTTGGCATTGAGAACATTAAGGAGACCTTTATCATGTGGGGTTCCTCAGGGGGTACTCCTCTCCCCAATGTTGTTTAACATCTATATGCGCCCCCTTGCTCAGCTGGCAAGGAGTTTTGGGCTTGGGTGGCATCAATATGCTGATGACACTCAACTATTTCTGCTATTGGATGGCCACAAAATCTGGCTGAGGAATTGGAGGCTGTGGTGGGATGGTTAAAAAAGAGCAGGGTGAGACTGAATCCGATGAAGATGGGGATTCTGTGGCTGGGGGGTGGGCCCTCAGGATTGGAGTTTCGGTTCCAGCTCTAGATGGGGCACCATTGACACTGGCACCATCTGTCAAGAGCTTGGGTGTGACTTTGGATGCTTCCCTATCAATGGAGGCCCAAGTCATGCATGTTACCAGGCTGGCATTTTTCCATCTCCACCAAGCCTGACAACTGGCTCCTTTCCTGACCTTGCCATTGTAATCCATGCAATGGTCACCTCCAGACTAGACTACTGTAACTCGCTCTACACTGGCCTACCCTTGAGAATGACCCGGAAAATCCAGCTGATCCAGCATGTGGCAGTGTGAGTCCTGATGGGAACATCACGGATGGCACATATACAACCAGTGCTGCGCCAGCTACACTGGCTTCCAAGGGGGTCCTGAGTCAGGTTCAAAGTTTTGATATTGACTTTTAAGGCCATGAGTGGTCTGAGACCAATGTATCTACGGGACCATCTTCTCTGGTATGTCCCCAGAAGAGCTTTACCCTCTTCAAATAACAACTTGCTGGTGATCCCTGGCCCCAGGGATGTCCAGCTGCCCTCAACCAGGGCCAGGGCCTTCTTGGTCCTTGCCCCGACCTGGTGGAACTCTCTGCCAAATGACATCAGGGCTCTGCGGGATCTTATGCAATTCCTCAGGGCCTGTAAGGCAAAAATGTTCCGCCAAGCATTTGGTTGAGGGCAGCAATGGTTACTCATTGGCTGGCACCTTTCCTTTTTTATCCCCCCCCATGCTCCCCCTCCATTCCCTTTCCCCCCACCCAGAAAAAGGGGCTGGTAGTCCAGAATCGGGATAAATAATATTATAGGAAAATCGCCATCTGGATTCTTTTATCTGCACTGAAATTTTTATTAAGTTATATATGAATGTTAATGTTTTGTACGGTATGACATTATGTCCTGTACATCGCCCAGAGCCTGGTGGAAGCCAGGATGGGGTGATCAATAAATCTAATAAATAAATAATAATAATAATCATCATCATCATCACCATCATCACCATCATCACCATCATCATCATCTTTCATCGGCTCTCTGATTCCCAAATTGGTGCCAACATAACTGCTTGTTACAGTGATGTAATAAGGGCAACACATCGTTCATACTGCATTGTCTTACGCAGCTTTGGGGTAGTGCAGCCATGTTGGAATGGGCACTATATGCAGCAAGCACAGCATGCCCTCCTCCTCAGTCTTCTAAGTATCTTTCAGCCTGGGATTGGGTACATCTAGCCAGCCAACTCTCAGCAATGCTCTAGTTTTGCACCTTTCAACTCTAGGACTCCAGCTGTTGCAGAGAATGGCAATCAAGCACTTAGTTTTTAAAATTTACTTATTTCACTTAAACCCAACCTTTCTCCCCGATAGGCACCCAAAGTGGCTTACATCATTCTCTTATCCGCTGTATCCTCACAAAAACCCTGGGAGGTAGATTAGGCTGAGAGTGTGTGACTGGCCCAAAGCCACCCAACAACTGACCATGGCATACTGGGGTTTTGAACCTGGATTTCCCAGATCCTAGTCCATCATTCCAACCATGACACCAAACTGGCTCTCAATACAGTTCCCTCCCACACCCCTCTGTAACATTTTGGACAACCCAGCTTTACCTAATATCATGCTGTTGTGTATCTCCTCTCACCCCATCAGCAGCCAGTGATGTGAGGCATGAAAATGTATAATGCTGTGGTTTTAGAACAGAAGCAAACCTGGATATTACAGAAGGAAAGGGTGTAGGGTTGCCAACCCCCCATTCCAGGTGGGTTTCCCCCCGATTTTCCGGGCTCCTGCCTGCTGCTGGCCAGCTGGCTGGCAGGGAAATCCCACCCTCAAACAGGGATGTCATCACACAGAAGTGACATCACCACATTGGGATGTCGTATGGCAACACTCTGCTTTTTGGGCAAAACTCTATGGCTTTAGGCCAAAAAACCCATACAGTTTTGCCCAAAATGCGGAGCATCACCATGCGATGTCCCCGACGTGATATCACTTCTGCGTGATGTTATTGCATCAGGGACATCACACAATGTCCTCGTATACCCCTCAAATGCTCCCCAAATCCCCCTGCCAGCAAGCCAAGGGGACCTGACAACCCTAAAAGGGAGGGAATTAAATGGACACTTGCCATTTTTGGGAGACATTCATGTTTCATGTAATGTAATTCTAACAAATGATCATGATTTCTTCCCTCCACAGTCAGATGTACAAGCTTCATATTTAGAGACTGCCCATGCATCTCACCATGGAGATGTGTGAGGTTTGCAGAACAAAGAAATGTAACAAAACCAAACCAAAAAGCACTAAACAGTTTTGCTTCATATTCCCTCTGTGTTTAGTAACATCTGAAGCCTTAATCTCAGTGTCCCTGTTTTATATTGGGTCCTTAAAGGACTATGCATGGTAATTATGCAATTGTGAATATATTAATAATACTTTCTTCTAGTTGTGATATACCATAAACCACATTTCCTTAAATCTTACACTTATTTTGCAGAATTATCCTGGGAAGGGAATGGAAAGCATAATCATTCTATTTTGATGCCATGTTCTTTCAGTGTATGACTAATGGATGTTATTATGTTGTACATTTCAGAATGGAATGCAAACCATTTTAGGAGATTATGGTGACTGCTTTCCACAAATCAATTATATTAACAATAATTTCAAATTGCAAAGTTGCTATGTTTAGCACGTAAGTATTGTTTCATGCTGCATACCAAAACAGCAATAGTTTATTTACACAAACTATGAATGTGATTTTTTTGCCCTTACAGAAATGCACTGATCTTCCACCATAGCCAATCGTGTCCTGCAAGACAGTAACTGAAACATGCCAGGAAAAAATTGAGCCCTGTAAAAAATTAGATTTTTGAAGACTTAATCCAGACTGAGGCACAATGACTGTTTTGTGATGGAGAGGCTGATAGCTCGGGAGACCTGTCTTTTTCAGTGTCTGAACATGAAAAAGTGCCATTCCAATATGATCCTGATATGAAGTGATATTTTTCTGACAGCTCAAAAGAGAGTGAAGTTGTGAAGTGGAAAGTCATGAAGAAACAACTTACGGGCTGTCCAGGTTCATCTCCTCCAAGAATTCTGAAGCCAAAACCAGATTCCATTCTCCGAAGATGAACATCCAAATCCTTATAGTCTGGACCTGGTATAAAATAAGAAGTTGTTGAGTTGAAATACATTTGAAACTTTTTCTCCCATAACAAACATAGGTTCTTTGTGTGTAGTTCACTGACAGAGCAATCCTATGCAGATCCATTGACTTCAATGGACTTAAGTACCTCAGAATTACCTACAAGAACATATAGGGTCATACCAGTTTGGTGTACTGGTTAAGAGCACAGACTCTAACCTGGGAGAACCGGGTTTGATTCCCCACTCCTCCACATGCAGCTACTGGTGTGACCCTGGGTCAGTCATAAGTTCTTTCAATCCAGGGCAGTTTTCGAAAGAGCTCTCTCAGCCCCACCTACCTCACAGGATGTCGGTTGTGGGGAGGGGAAGGGAAAGGAGATTGTAAGCCACTCTGAGACTCCTTCGGGTAGCGAAGGGCAGGGTACAAATCCAATATCATCATTTTTTTCTTCCTCTTCTTCCCAGCCAACTTTTTAACTCAATGTCACCTAATTCCCCTTGTTACTTCAGCACCCATCACACCATGATGGTGCCATGCCAACCAGCTCAGGGTTTTTGACAGCCAAAGGGGACTAACTTTTCTCCAAATCAATGGTGGAAAAGCTGGTAGGATTCAACCCATAGACTTTTCTCACTGCTGTTTTACATAATATTCCATCATAATGAACAGCACTTGTTCTATAAGGCTGTGGTCACATGGCAAGCATACCGCGATTTGTTCTCGCTGTAGATTTGATCAAGGATATTTCAAAGCAGGTTTAGATGATCACACATCCCTTGCCCAACCACTTGCTTTGTGCGACATTGCTCCAGGCACTGTCCAGACAGCTGCACCACCCAAGTGGCGGCATGGCACAATTAAAAAAAAAAATACTTTGCGCATTCGCACAACAGCAACTACTGGAAGAAGGATGTTCAAACAACCTAATCACAATCATTGCGAGAGAGGGCTGTCCAGATAGGCAAAATAGCAGAAAGTACTTGATTTTCCCCGGTGTCGGAAAACTCGCTAGGGAACCGGGAGGATTGCTCGAGTGATCCCACTTCGGTGCGGGAGACGGATGTGGGCGTCTGATCAGCAATTTAAATGCATGAAGGAACAGTGGTGAAGCCTGATCAAAATGACAGTGTGACCACAGCCTAAGATACCAATGTTTGGTGGTTTATGAAGCTATTTGCAAATATTCGATCTTGATAGAATAAAATACAAATAAAAGCATGATGTCCTCACTGCCAACTCCTCAGCCTTGAGAAAGTGTCTGTAACCTTGCCTGCTGACTGAATTGAATATGTGGAATAAACAGGCTTCATAAAAATAATTAGATTTACTTCAGCACAGTTGAACTAGAAAGCTAATACATTAACATATCAGTTTGGTATGACTTCTTTTAAGAATGACCACGATCACTATCACCATAGTCCAGGGATACTCTTGGAACTAGTCCTACTGCTGGATAAGCTGTTGGCAGTTCTGGTCGAGTGCCTTTTGCCAGCTTTGACTGGCTAGCTGGCTGCTGCAGCCTTTCCTGGGAAGAAAAGGTATGGGCACTGTGGTGCATGCCTTGGTTACATCTAGATTAGACTACTGCAGTACACTCTACATAGGGCTGCTCTTGAACAGTGTTTGGAAACATCAATTGATTTAGAATGCTGCAGCCAGGATATTAACTAAAGTGGGCCACAGGGACTCCAGACTAGGGTTGCCAGCTCTGGGTTGGAAAATTCCTGGAGATTTGGGTAGTGGAATCTGGTGATGGTGGGGATTGAGGAGGGGAGGGACTTTAGCAAGATATAATTCCATAGGATCCTCCTTCCAAAGCAGCGATATTCTCCAAGGGAACTGATCTCTTTTGCCTGGAGATCAGTTGTAATCCTAGGAGACCTTCAGCCACTGTACTGCAGTTAGCAACCCTACTCCAGTCTTGGCCCATCTAGACTGGTGACTAATTTGCTTCTGGGCACAATTGATCTTCAAAGCCCTAAATGGTTTGGGATCAACATACCTAAAAGACCACCTTCTCCCTTACAAACCACTGCTTTGGAGGCCCTGCTTCATGTGCCTCCCCCACTGAGGAGATCCAGGAGAGTGCCTTCTTGCTCATGGTACCAAAACTCTGGAACTGTCTCCCCAGGGAGACTCATCTATTCCCTTCTGTTGCTCTCTTCTGCCAGAAGGTGGAGTGTTGTTTTGTCTGGCATTCCACCAGTGATCCCTCCTTCCTGACCAATGATTAAATTGTTTTTATGTCTTTGTGTGTTATTTCAGCTCTGTTTTTAATTATTTTAAAGATGTATGCTTTTGTATGGGGATTGGTTTAAAATGGCTTTAAGATGTGATTTTATCATATATGCTTTAACTTGTTATCCACCTCGGTGGCCCATTTGAGGGCATAAAGGTGGGATAAAATTTTGTAAACCAAATATTTATTTTATTTATTTTTTATTTATTCAATTTCAATTTATTACAGGTCTTTATGACCGAAGTCTTGACCAAGAGGATACCAAAGGGGGATAAAATAGGTACATAAAATAGACATAAATATGTCAAGGTACATAATAACAGTCACATAAAACCCAGGCTGAGTCCAGAGATTAAAAATTACCTAACTACACTTGGGGCGGAGCCAACTAACTAAAATCATCCGAAGATTAAAAATCGGTGTCGAAGTTTTTAGAAGTGCTGGACTTTTCAATGCTTCTTGAGAGCAGCCACCTTAGCCAGGAACCGCGCCACGTTAGCTGTTATCAGTCCATCGGCATTTGAGTCAGATAACAGTACTGAGAGCACCCAAGGTTGCGCGGGAAGATTCATCTTCGTGAGAATAGGAGAGATATAAGTGCCTCTAACTTGAGTCCAGTGGGGACAGCGAAATATCAGGTGATCTAAGGTTTCAATTTCGCCAGAATTGCACAGACAAAGGCGATCTGAGTAAGAAAGGCCTCCAAATCTTCCCAGAGTTACCATTGTTGGAAATACATTTAAGCGGGCCAGCATAAAGGCGCGGCGGTGAGATGGAATTGATAACGTTGAATAAAAGTCAGGAAATCTCTCTGGAGGGGACAACCCCAAAGCCAACGGAGAGCAGGTGCGTCTTGCCCTGGCCACGGTGCTGGCCCAATCCAACTGTTTAAGTTTCTTCAAGGTTTCCTCAAGCTGAGAGGGCATCAGCTCTTCGTTAGGTGAGGACATCGGCACTCCCAATGTCCTGAGTTTACCAGCAAGAAGGGACAACCAAGGGTTGGATGTCGTGTCCTTTAAGATGGAACGAAGAAAGCCGGCCTGGGGGTGATGACTTGGGTCAGATAACTTAAATCTCAACTTGAATGCCCTCTTCCAAGCACGTGCTTCAAGCGAAGATTGAACCAGTTCCATACGAAGGACAGTCCCAGCAACACACCGTGGCGTTCCAGTAATTCTCCTAAGGAAGGAGTTTAGCTGGGAATCCAATTTCTCATCCACGCCAGCAATCCAGATTTCTACACCGTATAAAATTTGGGAGACCACCTTCGCATTGTACACCTCGATGGCCGGGGGAATCCGCTTAGCCCCCTTTGTACGGAAGAATTTCTCAACCAGTGCCGTGGCGAGTCTGGATGACTTCTTAACGTATGTCAGATGAGCGGACCAGGATAGATTGTAACTAAAAACAATACCTAGGTATCGGAAGGAGGAAACCCATTCTAGTTGGCCATTCCCAACTTTAAAATACAGAGGACCTCTTCTTCTCTTGACAGAGAAGCGAAGAACCTTGGACTTTGCATAATTCACGATAAGCTCTTCTTGTTTGCAATAGTCCAAAAAGGCATTGACAGTAGACCTCAGTCCAACTTCAGATGTTGCCAGCAAAACAGCATCGTCAGCATAAAGTAAAAGTGGTATAGGAAGACCAGCTAAATACGGAGGATGTCTGGCTCTCATTTTAAGAAACGGCACCAAATCATTAATATAGATGTTAAACAGGCAGGGGGCCAACAAACATCCCTGTCTAACTCCCTTCTGCACTGGAAAGGAGTCTGTCCTGACTCCTGAAGAATTCACTCGAACCGAGGCAGATGTTTTAGAATAGAGAGCCATAATCAATCCCAGTAGTCTGCGGTCAATATTGGTGTTCAATAACTTCTCCCACAATCTGCGACGAGAGATGGAGTCGAAGGCAGCCCTCAAATCCATGAAGGCCGCATAGAGACAACCTCTTGGACGCAAGGAATACTTGCTGGCAAGATGGAGAAGCGTCAGACAATGGTCTGTAGTAGCGACACCCTGTCGAAAGCCACACTGTTCAGGAAAAAGGAACCTCTCTTCATCAAGCCATTTCTGGAGTCTCTCCTGAAGGAGTGCAGAGTAGATCTTCCCAGGGGTAGCAATAAGGCTAATCGGTCTATAATTCCCTGGGTCGTTGGTATCCCCACCTTTGTGGATAGGTACCACAGTAGCTGTCTTCCAAATATCGGGGATATTAGCTGACTTGTTGATATCCGAAAACAGGTGGGCCAAGCGATGAGCCCACCATTCGGGATTCACCAAAAATAGTTCTAGAGGTATAAAATCCGGGCCCACCGCTTTGCCACGCTTCATCTGATTAAAACGTTCAAGTACTGACTCTGGAGAGACCCGCTCCCAGTCCGGAGCAGAGATCAACACCTCATCAATTTCCTTCTCATCGACAGGGCATTCTGAGGATTGGTACAAAGCTGCAAAATGCACCCTCCATCTGGCTGGGGAAATTGTTGTCACGATGTCAGCCTGACGTCCTGGTCTAACAAGCCTCCAAAAGGCCTTCACATCCCTGGACTCCAAGATGGTAGCAAGAGATTCCCAGTCTTGAGTGGCCATGGCTTCCTTTTTCACTCGAATTAGGTCCTTAAAAACTTTTTTGAGAGAAAAAAATCCAATCAAGTCCTCAGGTCTCCTAGTAAGTCTAAAACGCCGCAATTTTACTCGAATGGCCTTCTTGGCCAACCTACATTCGGCATCAAACCAGTGATTTGGATGACTTTCTGGCATCCTCC